TGTTTGGTTACCCACATTCTTCAAAATATCTTCTTTTGTGTTCAGCACAAGAAAGAAATTAATACAGGTTTAGGACAACGTATGAGTGAGTAAATAACATAAATTACATTTTTGGGTGAACTATCCCTTTAATGACAAAATCGAAATCAATCAGACGCGAAAGACAACTTATAAATTGAGTTAAGTCTTAAAGTTAAGTCCAGTAATCAGGCAGTGTTTGAAGCACGGAAGCACCTCAGAACAGCACGTGAATTAAATGTTTAACCGGCAAGGATTTAAAGCAGATGCAAATAATGTACTTTTGTGATTGCGCAACTCTACTGCGGAGTTAACACTGATGTGAATGTATGTTGCACACAGGATATTGATATGGCGGCGCCAGAACTGCAGCTGATAGAATGTGCGCTGTAGCACGATACTACGAACCAAGTATAATCAATCTCACACACACAAACAAGCACAACGAAATCACTTCACACTATTAAGCGGCTGTGTTATGAACATGCAAAACTGTATCGCACGTGTGCTACAGTGGTAAATTTATTCATCGCACAAACCAGTTTTTTCATAGCACGTGCATGTCGCACTGTACAGCCCTGTGCAGATCTGTCAGGGTTAGGTGACGAGCCTGCGCCAGCTCAGTGCCCACGCGTTTGAGAGTCGGACTCGTAACCTAAAGGTTGGGGGTTCGAGTCTTGTACCGGCAGGGATTGTAGGTGGGGGGAGTGAATGTACAGCGCTCTCTTCCACCTTCAATACCACGACTGAGGTGCCCTTGAGCAAGGCACCGAACCCCCAACTGCTCCCCGGGCACCGCAGCATAAATGGCTGCCCACTGTCCACCGTGTGTGTTCACGGTGTGTGTGTGTGTGTTCACTGCTGTGTGTGTGCACTTCGGATGGGATAAATGCAGAGCACTAATTCCGAGTATGGGTCACCACGTCACTCACTCACTCACAGTGTGACAAAAAATACGCTGTACTGTACTGCGCGCATTTTCCCGCCCTAGTACTAATTCCTAGTATGGGTAACCATACTTGGCCACATGTCACGTCACTTCCCTTCCAGTGCGCTTCATGACCGTGGATCTCCACCCCTCCCCCGACGCTCAAGATGTGGTGTCCTTCGGTGCCATGGAGACGGCGAAGACAGTGCTCCTGCTCGCGCTGGCCTCTGTTAAGAGAATTGGCGACCTGCAGGCGCTGTGAGTTGAGGACTCGTGTATTGAGTTCGGGCCAGGTGATTGCAGACTCACCTTATAAAGCCTAGGAAGGGTTATGTGCCTAAAGTGCTTTCGACTCCATTCTTTCGACAGGTCACACTATCTGCTTTTTGTCCCGAAACACCGGCCGGGCCAGAGCCGCTTAATACACTCTTGCTGTGCCCTGTACGTGCGGTGCGCATTAATATCGAGCGCTCTAGGCAGTTCAGGCTCTCGGATCAGCTATTTGTATACTTTGGAGGGCGCACAAAAGGCCTGCCTGTGTCCAAGCAAAGACTGTCACACTGGATCGTTGACGCAATTGCTTTGGCTTAATGGCTCTAAGGGCATGGAACGTCCCTATAGGGTTCGGGCTCACTCAACCCGTGGACTCGCGTCCTCGTGGGCATGGGCAAATGACTTCTATTCAGGACATTTGCATGGCGGCAGGCTGGTCGTCACCCAGCACTTTCGCGAGGTTTTATAACCTAGATGTGTCGTCGCTTGCCTTACATGTGCTGTAAGTGCAAGCAACACACCTGCCTTCTCAGCCTTACAGGATCTTAGAATGCCAAGTTGCTTCAGTCAAGATTCTGAATGGATGACGTACAAGCGCTGCCTTCTACAGAGTGGGAGCCCCTCATAATTTGCACGCTTGAACGCCATTGGCCAGTTTCACTGGCGTGATTCAATAAGGCTTCAGTAGTATTTGGAGGAAAGGGGAATTCCCAAAGCAATGTCTCGTTCCCTCATCCCAGAGAACCGAGGTTACGCGAGTAACCGAGAGCGTTTCTAGTTGTAAGTATTTGTGGTAGACAGCAGTTCCCCTTGAGTTTTCCCTTATCCCCTAAAAATGTAGATTTGCAATAATATTCCTGCGTACTAGTTGTGTTGTCTGGATATTTTGTGTGTGTGTGTTTTATCTAGGCAAAATAGCCATCCAAAAAAAAACAAAAAAACATTCTGCTTGACTCACTTGGAGAGTGACACCTGTTTCACACATACTCCATCTGCAGTGCATATGCGGTCCATGTGCATTACGTATGTGGTGCAGAAGCAGCACGGACTCATTGTGTTTTCACACAGGACGCGTTTGCAGTCCGCTACTGATCCGCGGCTGTTTAGGCCACAAACACAACATTTATCCTTTAGTTTGATTTCAAATCATGTAAAAAAAAAAAAGCTTTTTCAGCATTGGGATACTCTTTTATCACAGTCATATCACCCTGCAACCCAAGACTGGTTTCCCACTGAAGCTAAGATCGGGAGGCCCCTCAGGGCGACCTAGATACGGTAGACCAGACAGGGCAGCCTGAAAGCATAAGCCCAGCCCGGACATCCAGGAAATCTTTGCAGTGCCATGCCGGAGGCCTAATGATCAAGAACGCTCCCGCAGAAGACTGTGACTTGGCCGCATAATCCAGGAAGTATGAAGCCGAAACCCGGCTTATCGTACCGTCTGGACATATCCAGTCGAGAGGGGGGCTCGACCTACAGCGCGATTGTTAGAATCTGGGAAAAACAGAGAACTCAACACTCACGTGAGAGGAGAACTCCGAATTCAGAAGGAGTAGCGTGCTCATAGGTAACCTTTTGATAAAAGGGGAGCACTGCTCAGCACTACCACGAGAACAGCCCATGGAGCGAGGAATCCAACTCCTCAGAGAGAATTAAATGCTCGAAAGAAAACATGCTCACAATAACCCTCAGTTAAAAATCATCAAATGTGTTCTACTGAAGAAACAAAGTCACCTACATCTTGGATGCCCTGGGGGTAAGCAGATAAACATCAAATTTTAATTTTTGGGTGAACTATCCCTTTAAATAGAAAAGAATTATGACTAGTGTGGATATTTTGGCGCGTTATGTCATATCCTGACATCAATATCAATATCATGGCTCCCGCCCCTTTTCACAGCACCGTCCGAACGAATTTCGCATGCTCAAAGTCTAGTGTGACCACGGCTTAAATATAAGACAGAATAGCCAAAGCCGTAAACATTGTTGAAATTGATAATAAATTGGAAAAATAAGCACAATTAAATTTCAAGTTGTTAAACATCTCTTCTCAAAACTATTTTCAAGTTTTGGAGAAAACACAGTATTTTGAACCATTGGACTTGCTGTACATCCAATTGTGCTTCTAGCGCACGTCAGTTCTGATCGTACGTATGGTAACTATGCAACTACGCAAGAACTGTAGTATGATTGCGTAAAGGGAAACAGACTTTCTGAGGGGAATGAAATCGGCTGCTTCACCGGACATTTTAGTAAAGATCAAATGAGTAAAAACCAACCTGTTGGTTCCTCAGTATCTTCATGTTTGAATGTTTCTTCAATCTTCATGTCTTCACTCTCCTCTTTAATTAACTCAATCTTTGTTTGTTCCTCAGTATCTTCATGTTTGAATGTTTCTTCAATCTTCACGTCTTCACTCTCCTCTTTAATAAACGCCATCTTTATAATAGTGTCACGTGGATCTCAGATGATTCAACTGTTTTTCTGTGAGTTTGGACACTTGTTCTGTTTAAGATGAGAATGAACAGAAAGAAAAATCAATCTAAACTAAATCCGAGTGCGTCTCAATCAGCTCCCTAGTTCAGTAGTCAGCACACTGTTAAGGGAGTCAGTCAGAGAGAGTTAATTAAAAACACTCAAACTAGTGCTACAAATTAAAGAGATCCTTCATTTTTAGGCATTTATTATTTACAATTAGTATTGATTTGTAGATAACATTTAATATATTCCACTTTCATTAAAATAATTTACAGTTGGGATTGTAAAATTTGTCATCGCACATGTTTGTGTTTGTTGCTTTCGCTGCATTTACACTGTTTCGAGCAGCGGGTCTCGTCAGCGCGCGCTGATTCGAATCACTGAATCATTTTGCGAATAATTTGGTTCATTTGAGAAAAGTTTGGAAAAGCTCCGTTTCTCCATTATCTCTACTAGTGACTGAATGCATCTTTATGATCAACTGATTCACGATATATGGAGCGAAATGAGACGCACATTTTCTGTTCAAGTGGATGCAAAACAACTAATTCATTTTTTTCGGTTATTGTAAAAACAACAAGATAGACTGAACCTTTTAAATGCTTAAAAACACAAACCCGTCTTCATCCGAATCACAACAGATGCAGGAGCGCAGCCTTATGACGTCACGCCACAAAACCAAAATAAAAGTCCCGCTGACACGCTGCTCTCTAGAATCACTAGAAAATTACACACTAATAATAGAATAGACGAGAACAGTTTATTTCTTGGCGAAACTGATATTTAAATGTTGCCCAATCATGTGCTGAAAGTAGACAAAACTGCAATGTTTGGATGCAGAATGCATTTATAACCAGGTTGGTCAGAGTTCACGTCGACTCATTTTCCAAATAAAGCTGCACATGGATCCCAACTCAGTCGACCCATCATTTAAAAAAAGTGGGTTTAACAGGTGATTTTGACCGACTAAATGGAAATAATTAATTAAAATGATTAAAATAATTTCTTCTAAAATGTAAATGAAATTTGATTAAAGCCATTTGCTTTAGTACATCAAGAAGTCAACCAATAGCATATTTTTTCATATTCATGTCATTCACACTGACCTTTATACACATAATTGTTACTTTTTAAATCCAACCATTTGTCTGAAATAGCCTGTGTTTATGAAATGTGGGTCGTTTCCCCACCTCTGTATTTTAGTATCCATTAGTTGGGTGGGATTTTTTGTATACATATAGGCCATGTTGGATTTAAGACCAACTCCAAACAAGCACTTTTGAATGGTGTCTACATCTATATTGTAATCATCTGAACTCTAAGGGATGTACAGACTTTGTATTGCCAATGCACATTTATTAAAAGATGAAATGTTGTATTTCTTGGTTAAACACTTCATGGGCTTACTTCGAAGGGGTTAATCTGAATTACCTACTTTGTTACTTTGAATTACTCTGCCAATATGAATGAATGGTAATTGTACTGTGTGTTATTAGGAAGGAAGAAAGAGCTTGATGAGGCCCTTGTCAACATGATTGTGAAGGAGTTGCAGCCTCTCTTTCTCCATCGTAGAAGACGACTGATCTGCGAGAAAAACCAAGAGGAGTAGCGAAAGGCTGTGGCACATCTACAGAACAAAACCAAGTGAAGATACAGCGAAACATCAGCTTAAATACACATGACTGAATGAGACGCATGTGAACACAATAGCACTGATTACTAGAGGCACACGTTAGAATGAGAGTCCTATGGCGTCTAGTGGCCAAAATAAAACATTACAAAGTGTTAGAAATGGCATACTTGTTTACTGCCTACTATTTTTTTTAAAGAATAGTGTGTGAAACAGTATACAATAAGTAAGAAATGTTTCAGAGTAGTATGCTACAGTGTTGTCACATGACAAACACTAAATATTAATTGGCTAACTATGTGAACTTTGTTCAAACAATGTTTATCAAGCCTGTTTCTCTATTGTACTTACTGTGTTTACCTCTTTGTTGGTACCGGTTTAATTAAAAATACAATAAAGCAAAATGCACAAATGTGAAAGGTCTGGGTTATCCAACTATGAGTTAATGAACAATACGTACACACATCCCATTTTTTGTGAAGCTTTGCATATGCAAACATACAAGGGTCAATTAATTGCAACACTTGCAACTTTGTTAGCCTAAACGTACTATTGTTTAATTATAATTGACCCAAAATTCCATCACATCATCAACAGACCTTTAAAGGGGTCATATGATGCTGCTAAAAAGAACATTATTTTGTGTATTTGGTGTAATGAAATGTGTTTATGCGGTTTAAGGTTTAAAAAACACATTATTTTCCACATACTGTACATTATTGTTTCTCCTCTATGCCCCGCCTTTCTGAAACGCGTCGATTTTTACAAACCTCATCGGTCTGAAAAGCGAGGTGTGCTGTGATTGGCCAGCTATCCAGTGCGTTGTGATTGGCCGAATACCTCAAGCGCGAGACGGAAATGTTACGCCCCTACCCTACTGTGATGCCCTGTCCGGCCGGAGCGATGATTCAAAAACATTCAAACGTCTTTGCAACTTTACAGATCTTCTTTATGCACCAAGAGCTTGTAACACTCCAAAGAGAAAGGAAAAATTTAAATCGCATCATATGACCCCTTAAAAAAATTTTAAGTGTCAAGTGTATTTTGTAGATAAAACCATTACAAATAGGAATGTTAGAACATTATTGAAAATAATGTTTCAATAATAAGACAACCAAGGAACTTCCACAGATCTGGAAGTCTGCATTCGGGGTTCCTCTGTTGAAAGGGGGCGACCCTACTTTAAATAACCACAGACCTGTTTCAAAGCTGTGTATTTTGTCAAAACTTTTGGAAAGTTTTATCAGTTAACAATTGACAGTATTTACACACATAAACTTTTGTTTATCGACCAATCCGGATTTTGTAAAAAACAAAACAAAAAAACAGCACCATTACAGCCGTCTCAAAAGTTTTAAATGACCTTGTGGGGTCCCTAGATGAAAAACACCACCGTGCATGTCTTTTTATTGATTTAACTAAAGCATTTGACACAGTGGAGCGTGAGATTTTGTTAGATAGGCTTAGAAGTGTTGGTCTATCAGACAATGTAGTCTTGTGGGTTAATGCTTATTTAAAGGGTTAGTTCACCCAAAAATGAAAATTAGCCCATAAATTACTCACCCTCAAGTCATCCTAGGTGTATATGTCTTCTTCTTTCAGACGAATCCAGTCGGAGTTATATAAAAAATTGTCTTTGATCTTTCAAGCTGTTTAATGCCACTCAGCGGGTGTTGCAGTGCATCAGTCCAAAAGAAGTTAAATAAAAAGCGCCCATCCATAAAAATAAAAAATAAAAAGTGTCTCACACAGCTCCAGGGGGTGAACAAAGGCCTCCTGTAGCGAATCGATGCGTTTTTGTAAGAAAAATATCCATATTCAAAACGTAATAATCACTTTAATGTAGCTTGCGCCAACAGTTGTACATGGAAGCAGCTCCGGGCGGATGACGTATGAGGTCGGCGTTGCGCATGACCTTAAATGTCTCAGCAAGATTTCAGTGCTTGGCAGAATCAGCAGGGATAGAAGACCCTGTTGAGCTTGACTCTAGTCTGGCACTGTGAAGAGATATGAGGGGTGTAAAATAAGTGGGAGGCCCCATTCCGACGGGCTCTTGCATGTAGCGTCAAGCATTGGGGCCCACTGCGGTCCCGGGCTCGACCTGCCCCGGGGACAGTGGCAGGTGGGGAATTTGACTGGGGCAGTAAACCTGTCAAACGGTAATGCAGGTGTCCCTAAGAGAGCTCAGGAAGGACATAAACCTGCCGTGAAACAGAAGGGCAAAAGTTTGCTTGATCTTGATTTTCAGTATAAATACGGACCGTTAAAGTGGGGTCTCCTTCTGGTTTTTTGGGTTTTAAGCAGGAGGTGTCAGAAAAGTTACCACAGGGATAACTGGCTGCCAAGCGTTCAAAGCAACATCGCTTTTTGAGCTTTCGATGATGGCTCTTCCTATCATTGTGAAACAGAATTCACCAAGGAACGTGGAGCTAGGTTTACGCCCCATTCATCAGATCGCCTTATGCAAATACCCTGGTGCAGACGCTAGCCAATCGCGCGTTCATGCAACACCAGAAAACGAATGTGATTGGCTGTTGTCACTATGACGGTTGCGTCAACACCAAGCTTCAGAAACGCCCTCCATCAAGCGTCGACGCCCCGTGTGAATGTACCGTTAGACTGTCGTGAGACAGGATAGTTTTACCCTACTGATGTACCGTCATTGCAATAAAAATCCTTCTCCGTACAAGAGATTCAGACATTTGGTGCGTGTGCTTGGCTGAGGAGCCACTGGTGCAAAGCTACCATCTGTGGGATTATGACTGAACGCCTCTAAGTCAGAATCCCCCTAACAGTAACAATACTGCATTGGTTCGATTGGCCTGGGATGCTCCAAATGTAAATTTCTCTAAAAATCAGAGGTACTCAACCAAATGCAACAGTGTGCTAACATTTCAAGTGAAAAAAGGTGAGGTAGATATGACCATCAGAACGTCACTCCTCAGCAAATTCAGAATACAGAAGTGTGTCATCAGCAATATGGATGTGCAAGACATGGAGGAGTTTGATTAAATGTTGTATCTTAGATATCACTTAGACCTCATTTCATGAGCTTACTGCATGAATTCAACCAATCTGAGAAGACCTTGATTACTACAGAAAACACGTCCACTGATTTAGCATGCCCATCTGCGAAAAGCATCACACAAGTGGCAGTAAAAAGAAAACCTGACGCTGACTGTCCCACTCCCTAAAAAACTCCAAGTGATGAAAGACAACATTGCAAATTTATTTGATAGGTAACAAATTAACAAGTTCAAGTTATTTAATCATATTAAGGGCATGTTGTTGTATACTGCCAACAATTGACACATTTCTATCTCAAATTATATTAAATTCCCTTTTCAGTGCTGCGCTCATTGTCTTCTATCTTCGTTTGTATTTCCACCGCGTAAAGGGAAGGTTGTACAAGTTTATGAATGAACTGCTTGTTTTAAAACAGGACTATTCAATTAGTTTCATTTGAGGGCCGGATTATTGAATTGAAAACTTGAAGGGGGCCAAGGGGATGGGGGGCATCCCGATCTCTTTCTGTGGGCCTATAAAATTTGAAATTAAATTTAAATGCATATTCAGCAGTAAAATGAACTAACATTACCAACACCAACATTTATAAAAGGCTAACATCTGTCAGACGATTAAAAAAAAAACGAATTAATCGGACATTTTCTATAATTAAAGGTGCAGTAGGAGATCTTGGAAAATGCTAACTTTAGCCTGATAGCACTGAAAGCGAACGTCCCACCCTCCCTGCAATCACCGTCCAAAGCCACGCCCCCTGAATGCATTTACGCTCACAGACCAGAGACAACATTACTACAATAGGCTACATCAGCGGTTCCCAATTCCAGCCCATGTTCCAAAGTGAAGTAAACTTCAACGGATTTACCCCGCTCAGGGAGTAGGGAGCAATGAACACTGTGTAGGGATCATATCGATCGGAACACAGTTCATGCACGTAGCTCACTTCTAACGAGCTGGTTATCTGAATCGGGTGTGTTAACTAAGCGAGACATGCAAAATATGCAGAGCAGCGCGAGGACAGGAATTGGGAACCGCTGGGCTACATCATGTGTCATTCACCGGTGAGAAAACTTTAAAAGTACTACAATACCAGGAAGGAAAATCGGGTTGTTGATTCTCTGGCATTCTCGCTCTGTCTGCACAGCGTACAAGAATGAGCTGATGACGTATCATGTCTGCGCGAACAGGGTGCGCAGAGGTATGCTAATACATACGTTGACAGACAGGTAGGAAAGCATATTAAAACGCTCGGACCGAGCGTTTTGATT